TGGTATTTATTTGGTATATTTATTGGTATTTATTTATTTGTTTGTTTGTGTATTTGTTTATTTGTGTTATGAAATTACAATTATATTTTATTTTTGCATTATGGTAATGATATTTATTCATTTATTTATTTGCCTTATGTAATTAGCATGATATTTTTGTTGCATTATGATAGTGATGGTATTTGTTTATTTGCGTTATGGTAATTAAAATGATGTTTTACATTATAGTTATTTGTTTATTTATTTGCATTATGATCATTTGAATAATTTTTTTCTATTGTGATGATGACATTTAATTATTTATTTATTTAGAAAGATTTGTTTATTATTTTTTGCATTATGGTAATTATGATATTTAATTATTTATTCACATCATGATCATAAAAATGTTATTTCATTTTTACATTGTGGTAATGGTGGTATTCATTAATTTATTATGGTACTTAGAATTTTTTTGCATTATGATAATATGATATTTATATACTTTATGAAAATTACAATAACATTTTTATTTTTACATTGTGGTGATGGCATTTTGGTAATGGTAATGATTATTTGCGTTATGGTAATGAGAATAAGAATTATATTTAAATGACAGTGAGAATAATAAGAATAACAAAAAAAATGAAAACATAAAAAGGCAGAAATTATTATGCAGTATATCACTGCATAATATTAAAAAAAATTGACCTGGAGGTCTTTTTGCAAAATTCCCCCATCTACAGCGTTAAAATAAAAGACAGCAGAGCTGTCTGTCAAAGAGAAACGTTAATGGCACTTTCTATCTCCTCGTTTCATCTTTCTCAAGGGATTTTAAAGTTCTTCGCACTTTACACTTTAGTTCCTGAAAGTTAAGAGTGGTTTCTTCCTCTCTCTCGGATCCCTGATCAGTCACACCATCTGTGCACTTTCTCCTTCTCTCTCTCGTCTCTCTGTGTCTTGTGTGAGATGGAGACGGGATGTTGTGTCCTCTGTGCGGTGGTGGACATGGTCTGAATGATAACATGGTGCTACCATTGAGCTTAGGATGGATAAAGCATCTACATTTTTTAGACCAGTTAAAGTATTGCCTCGTTAGCTTAGCAATATGCTAACGACAATAAGTACTGTGGCGGTATAATTGCGCCGTCAAATTTAAATTCCATTGTACTATATATTGATATGTGGTATTAGCATAGTGTATGTTTTGAAAAAAGTATTGCAAAATGGTATTACTGTCAAATACAATGTCAAAAAAACTCAATATAATTACAAATTATTTCAGTCAATACTAGTGTGTGCTGTATTTTTGTTGCATTTCCATGCTGCTTTTTGGTACTTTTGACAACATATTAACACAAAAATACTGTTGTGGTACCGTAGCTATTAAATTTTAATACGGTACTTTGTTATATATTGATATGTGATATTAGCATGACGTATGTCTAAAAACATAGTATTATGTTATGTAAAATGTTATAGGTTTAAATAGTACGCTATTTCATGCTGTAACTGTTGGGCTAATACAATATGTTCCCTATGAACTGCATATGTGAATATTATATAGACGTATTGTTTAAATCAAAATTATGCTTTAAAAGCAGGGTAATAGCAGGTTTCATCCATAGTTTGTCCGTTTAAACGTCTGCGTTTATCTTCAAATGGCATCTTTGATGACAGTATTCTGTAAAAATGATTTGCATTCTAATTTCTGACATCCAAAGGCACAACGATACATTTTTTCTCTTATTCCATGGATTTTACCCGTTTCCCTCCACTTGTTCCCAGTGTTTTTCTGCCACCACAATGCGCGCGCAGCTGCAAGTGACGTAACTGTGACATCTTCTCCAAATTGGTCTATAAGGTTCCTGTTTAGTTAGAATGCTCCCTATGTAGGTAGTACGCACCAAGGCAGCTCACTAGGTTTGAGTTTAGCTTGTGCTGCTAGAGCTCTTCACACTATCATTAGCACATCCGTAAGAGCGATGACTCCTTCAGAGGGGGCAAAATGATGGCATCACACGGTACTGAGTGGGATGTGGTTTCACTTATTCATGGCCGTTTCTGTGGGAAGCATCATGTGCGCTTGCTATTGCTCATCTCCAATGCGTGGATGTTAGTCCTTCAGACATGATTTTGCTGATGATTACATGCAGAAATGTCCTGGACGTGTTGATCTGGGTTCAGTTCATTATGTTGAATCTGTGATCCGACCGCTAGCTGGCTAAACTGGTTCAACAACACAAGCAGCCGAAGGCGACTTTCTCCCATCGGCCTTCATGTGTCCTCCAGACTGCTGATAAAAACTTCATAAACCCTGAGAGAACAATCCAAAAAGCTGAAACGCAAACCGTTTCACCTAGTTTCTAAACATATTAAAACTATGAATTGAATGACTTGAATTAGCATGTTTAAGTACCATGTAAACAAAATGGTACTTGAATATGCTAATCATTCTAGATTACAGATTACCATGGTACACGTCCAAAACATGGTAATACCGTGGACTTTTTGTGAGTGAAGTCTTGTAATTATCTACATCACTAAGGGAGACAAATATGGTCTTATTTTTGTGATAGATGAAACATGTTTAGATTCATACTTCTTTTTTTATTTGATAAGAAGAGATACACATTCTGTCTCTCTGTTAGGCCGGTCATGTAGATCCTCTATTATGTGACATTCATCCAGCCACTCCTCAGTGAGTCCAGCGTTTCATAACCTTCTAGTGATAAATAAATACTCCGGCACCCTCTTCTGGTCAACACACTAAACTCACATTTGAACGTTTGTTAGTGGTGCATATTTGTGTGAATAAACCGTAAAAACTGCCTGTTATAAAATAAGGGAAAAAACATTAAATACATTTATTGAGGACTTTGCTTTGAGTAAGTAAATAAAATCTAGAAAATATATTATTATTAGTAGTAGTGTTAGTATTAGTATTATCTGTAATTTGGAATTTTTATGCGTTTATAGTCAAGATTTGCTTCTCATTCTGTTAAAAAGAAATGCTTGTTTATTTAAACTGGAAAACAACTTTTCTACTTGTGTATTTTTTTGACAAATCCCAATAACACATTTTGAATTTGTGCTTTTAGATAAGGTCTTACCAAAAAAAGTTTTATTTTAATATATCAATGAAATTCAGTTGGCGTATATAAAACGTATAATTAGTACATAATAAAGCAAATCAGAATGGTTTTGACACAAAATATGTACACGTAATATGTAAATGACACATCAAAAACAAAAATAAATCTTAACAAATTTGAACATATTACAGCTTTTAGGGTGTTGTAATATTATTATCAAATATTGGTTTGAATTTTAATTATTTCATTATTTGACTAGAAACAAAACAAGAGATGTGAAATTAGCACAGCAAATTTTATTTTTATATATTATTATAGTATTTATTAATGTTTTGAATTGGCTTTTATTTTTATATTTGCAGCTTGTTTTAATTTAAATTTGAGTAATTTTGTTGTTTTTGTCATTTCTAGTAGCTTTTTTAAACTATTTATATTTTTATTATTTTATTTTATTTTTAATTTAATTTAAAGGCACAATATGTAAGTTTTTTTATTAAAATATCCAAAAACCACTAGAACAGTGTTATATATTTTGCTGACTTGAGTACTTGCATTATCCCAAATGTTTCGAAGAATGTTTAAATCCAGAGAAATAAGCAATTTTAACTAGTGACACGGACCGTGTCCATAGTGTCATTGTGTCGCCTGCCAATGACATCATAACTCCTCGATTTCCGGTTTTGTTTTGTAGAAAACATGGAAACACCAAAGACGCTTTAATATGCTGTGCATTTTAATAGACCGGTGACGACCGCACAGAGTAGCATAATAACAGAACTTTCAAATGTATCTAGTATGATAAAACAGCGCTGCTTTACCCCACATACGCACGACCGGAAGGAGCGGAAGTGTTCGACTGTGGTATAATAAAAGCTTTGTGTCACGCTCGTTCAGCGCCTCGTTTCACTTCGACGGCTTTCAGCCTCACCCTGCTTCATTCTGCTACGTTAATAAATCATTAGCTCATCCATGAACATGATTTCTGCCCGAGTCCCATCGGATTGCATCGGCTGTGGGGATGAAGACCACAACTCCCATGATTCCACACTCAGTCACGGTGTCATCAAACTACGCCTTTGTCTATTTGTTTATTTTGAATACGCGCCCTCTAGCGGCGAAAATTACATATTGTGCCTTTAAATTATGTATCTTAGGCCCACCAAGGCTGCATTTATTTGATGAAAAATACAGCAAAATCCTTCAGAAATCATCTATATTGTATGTAAAGTTATATCAAGAATAACTTCTTATTATGACAGTTGAAAACAGTTCTGCTACTTACTATTTTTGTAGAAACTTTTTTCAAGATTCTTTGATATATGCACAGAGTAGCATAATAACAGAACTTTCAAATGTATCTAGTATGATAAAACAGCGCTGCTTTACCCCACATACGCACGACCGGAAGGAGCGGAAGTGGTCGACTGTGGTATAATAAAAGCTTTGTGTCACGCTCGTTCAGCGCCTCGTTTCACTTCGACGGCTTTCAGCCTCACCCTGCTTCATTCTGCTACGTTAATAAATCATTAGCTCATCCATGAACATGATTTCTGCCCGAGTCCCGTCGGATTGCATCGGCTGTGGGGATGAAGACGATAACTCCCATGATTCCACACTCAGTTACAGCGTCATCAAACTACGCCTTTGCCTCTGTTTATTTTGAATACGTGCCCTCTAGCGGCGAAAATTACATATTGTGCCTTTAAGTTTAAGTGTTTTCATCTCAAATTTATATTTTATTCAAATTATTCATTTACAGAAAACTATTTTTAGTAGTTTTAATTTTAGTTAACAATAACAACACTGCTTATAAGAAATTAGTAAATTATTCAAATTAGTATTGTCCACTAGATGGTAGCAAAGGTGTACAAGTACTTACTAGAAGGGTTAAACATTAAAAGTTGTGTTTTTTGTCTTTCTCTGTAGATCACGGGGGCGATCCTGCTGGCGGTGGGATTATGGGGGAAGTTCATTTTGGGTCCGTACATCTCTCTGATCGCTGAAAACTCCACCAATGCTCCCTACGTGCTCATCGGGACCGGGACCACCATCATCGTGTTCGGGCTGTTCGGATGCTTCGCCACGTGCCGCGGGAGTCCATGGATGCTCAAACTGGTGAGTTTAGCTTCAGGAAGAGCATTTTACATTATATGACGCCCCAAAACAGACAGCTAACATGTCTCTCTCACTCTTTCTGTCTCTAGTACGCCATGTTCCTGTCTCTGGTGTTCCTGGCAGAGCTGGTCGCTGGCATCTCGGGCTTTGTTTTCCGTCATGAGGTGAGACGCGCACACACGGGCTCTCTGGCGGTGACCCATAATGCTTCTCAGAGATCTCCATCTGTTTCACAAGGAGGGCTTGTTCTGGTGACATCTAACATTGAGTGTGTGTGTGTGTGTGTGTGTGTGTGTGTGTGTGTGTGCGCTCAGATCAAAGGCACCTTTCTGAGGACGTACAACGAGGCCGTTCAGAACTACAATGCCCAAGACGAGAGGAGCATTGCGGTGGACAACGTCCAGAGAAGTGTATGTTCAAACGGTGGTTAACATCAGTAATGAAACGTTGAGAAAGATGTGTCATAATTTGCATTAAATATTAGAAAATCTTTATGAAGACAAACTTGGCTACCTTGACTTAAAGTTTAGTTTTAAAGGGCTTTAAGTTTATAGCTTGTATGTCAGTTAGATCGATTGCTAGCTCTTGCTATGGTGTTCCAAGTAGTTGCTAGGGTGTTGCTAGGATATTCTGGGTGGTTGTTAGGCAGTTTTAAGAGTGTTCGGGGTGGCTGCTAGGGCATTGCTAATGTGTTTCGGGTGGTTGCTAAGGTATTCTGGGTGATTAGGGTGTTAAGAGATTTTTTTGGTTGTTAGGTAGTTGCAGGGGCAATCTGTGTGGTTGCTAGGGTGTTGCTAATGTATTCTGGGTGGTTAGGGTTTTGCTAAGATATTTTCTGGTTGTTAGGTAGTTGCAAGAGCATTCTGTGTGGTTGCTAGGGTGTTGCTAAGATATTCTGGGTGATTGTTGGGCAGTTGCAAGGGTGTTAATAATGTGTTCTGGGTAGTTGCTAGGGAGTAGCTAAGATATACTGTGTAGTTGTTAGGCAGTCCTTGGTGGATACTAGGGCGTTGTTAAGATATTCCAGGTAGTTTTTAGGGGTTTGGTAAGCAGATAGATAGATAGATAGATAGATAGATAGATTTAGCATTACCTGTCATGACTTCTGATCTATATTATTCTCTCTCTCTCACTGTGTTCAGTTGCATTGTTGTGGTGTTCTGAACTACACCAGCTGGTTCTCCAGTGTTTATTACCCTGTGAATGGAATTCCTCCGAGCTGCTGCGCTAACATCTCCGACTGCAACTCCTCAGACCTGCGAAATGCCACCATAGCGCCCACCAAAATCCATCAGCAGGTAACACGCACACTCGCACAAACACACACTGATTGTGTTTTTCATGTATTTATAATCGTTCTGTTGTGTTCAGGGCTGCTATGAGCTAGTGACGGCTTTTATTGAGACTAACATGGGCATTATTGCTGGAGTAACGTTTGGAATTGCATTCTCGCAGGTAGGATGCAGACTTATTCCATCTTTTACTCAATTAAAAAAAAAATGTAAATTAAAAAAAAATTCTACTTTTTTGACATTTTATTTTAAACATTTAAAAAAAATATTCTATTTTATTTTAAACATTTTAAATATATTCTACACACTTCTTTTTTTTATTTGTTTACTTTTAAAATAAAAAAATAAATTTTTATTTGGAACATTTTAATATATATATTTGTAAGTTTTATTTTAAATTAATTTATCTTATTAAAAACAAATATTTAATAATAATAAATAAATGTAAAGAATAATAAATATGTAAATTCTAATAAATATTCATTAAAAAAATGTAACATTGTACATTTTATATTATACACTTGTTATTGTACACTTTTATTTTAAACATTTAAAAAACATTGTAGACTTGTATTGCAAACATTTCATTTTTAATTACTTTTTTTTTTTATTTACACTAATTTTTAAAACATTTTGTTTTTATCTTTTGTTAATATCAATATTTCAAGACATATGTAAATGATTGCTGTTATGTATATGGAAATGACCTCTTGACTGGTCAAACAAACAGAAAGTCCTGCCCCAATCTCATGCAATTGGTTGATTTTATTAGCTGAAGACATCACACACTGTTAATTTCATCTAATCCTAAACAAGAATGTTTTTCCTCTCCTTGAGACGTCATAATCGTGTCTGAGGCGGACATTTGCGAGCTAATATTTACTCCAATCTGTTTTCCGGTTACCGCTGAAGCGAGCTGAACAGCTGGCTGTTGTTGTCTCACACAGGTGGAGCGGTGCCCGCCGTCGAAATGAGTCACTGGGTAATGCTGCGTGCGCTCGCGTCTAAAAGCTTGAGCGAGAGCCGCGCTGCCATGACAACCCCGCGGTGAACGCCGACCCCGGGCTGTCTGTGTTTTCCCAGCCCTCATTTAGTAAACACACATAGACACACGAGCGGGAGCTGAGCATGTGGCGCAGCTGGGGTTTGCTAGCGAACGTGCTGCTTCAAACGCAATCAGGCCCTCTGTCACTCGCGCTTCCGCCTCAGGACCATTATGCAGATATCTCTCCATCTGTACTAATGGGTCCAAAGGGCCGCGGCAGGAACACCTCGACCCCTCCGCCGCGCACACGCTATGCTAATTGAACTGTAAATGTTATCTGTGAGCACACGGGCGGCCCAAATCAATGACATCTCGTAGAGACGCGGCCCCGCTAATACATCTAATCTTCCACCGCGCATGTGGAATTCTTTTGGTTCAGTTAAACGGGAATCAGTAAACATTCATTATGATTATAACTACAATTTGGTTCACATAGAGAGAGCGAACTGTAAACCTGGGAGAGCAGCCGGCAGTAACGACTATAGCAATTTAATTTAATTAGCAATTACATTGGAAGAGGGAGCAAAAAAGCCCTGGAAAACAGGTTTACCATGGTAACGGCCAATTGCGTGTGTGTTTTTCAGCTGATCGGGATGCTGTTGGCCTGCTGTCTGTCACGATTCATCACTGCCAATCAGTACGAGATGGTGTAGTGGCGTGTGCACAGGTGAGACACACACACACACACACACACACACACAGAGACCATTATAAACGTTAGCTACTGACTGACTTTAGCCATAGCATACTGTCTCATTTGAACTGGACTGCAACTCATGATACACAAAAAGCTCACAGGAGAATCTACCCTCAGTTGGTTGTAATGGAGTTTGGGGTTAGCGTGTCATAAAGATGCAAATATCGGATAAAGTATTAAATAAAATCGAAATATTAGTGAAATAGTGATTACTGAAATAGTTTCAGTAATATGTTGACATGCTTTAATGTTCAAAAAACACATTATTTTTCAAATCTTGCAATGCAACTGCATTTTGGCTTTTTTTTTCCATTCTGGGCAACTTCTCTGAAAACGATGCAACAACGTGTTGTGGTCACTATAAATTGTTGTTGCGTGAAGCTGCAGGAAGATTCTTCTAGTCTTGAACATGTTTAAACCTCTTTTTCCCCTTTCTACAGGCACAGAAGACGTACGACACCTTGGAAAGGGAAAGCAACCCAAAAATGCTAGCACACTCCATTCTTTCTCATCTCTTTTTTATTCTCTCTCTCCTTTTATCTTTCATTCTGTCTTTCCTGCCTTCTTTTTTCTCCTTTCCGTCATTCCTTAATCATGCAGTTGTGCCATAACCAAAGCCTCTCCTCACGAAACGTCAGCGTTAGCGAGGAAAAGGAAATGGTTTTAAGATGCACGCGTACTTTACTCTGTACAAAATCCTTGCATGCGAAAACCATCTTACACACACACACACACACACACACACTACAACTAAAATCAACAGCGTTTCTGTAACACTGCGTCCTAACCAGTCACATAAAAGCCAATCGATATTGCAATCTCTCTCTAGCTACATATCATATATGTTCAGGTTAGCTGTGGTTTTAAGGCTTTTTCTATTTTTAGACAGAGAAATTACTTAATACTTGGGACATTAAGTGTGATCTGTTAGGTATTTATCCCGTTTTTGAGAAGAAAAACTATTTAAAAGCTGTGTTTTTCTTATCTATCCACCATTTTGTCAGCTTGGTTTCTATTTGTCACATTGCAGTTGGTATAGCTCTGCCCACAGTGAATTCTCATTGGTCCAGATAGATGTATATTACTCTTCAAACGTTCTGATTGGCTATTTCGTGGCTTTGCGCAGTATTTTCACTCCGTGTTCACACATCTGGTTAGGACACGGTGTTACTTAACCCCTAAAAAGTGAGATTTGTTAGTTAATTGCCTTTTCAAGAGGAAAACTATTAAAAAAGGAAAAAATATATAGATGACAAGATGTTTTTGTTGTTGTTGTTGCTGTTGTAAAATCTATGGCAAAGGGGTTTATCTCAGAAATGGCTTTTTTGTCTTATATCATTTGGATTTCATTTTTTGCTCCACATCTCAGTGCTGGGTTGAAAATGATTCGACATAATACAAGTACAGAGTCAAAACCGTCAATTTGTCTTGACGTGAAAGCCAAAAACAAGCAATTTTCTGCCACATATAGCCATGTACAGAACTCACATTTCGACTGAAGTCTTAACGTGAGCATTTAAAACTAGTGGCTTTTACGTTGTTGTAAGACAAGCAGATATCTCAGAGTACTAACTGAACACTGTTTAATGGCTGATTTAATGGGTAATTATGCAGTTTATGAGTTGTAGTTACAGTTTCACACCATATCTACCTTGTGACACACTGTATTTTCTATTATTTTGTGGCTTTTTACTGTAGGAATGTAATCACACTGAGCGTCTCTTTCAGCGTTGAGGGATGTTCATGCTTAACAGCTCCGAAAATGTTTGGTTGTTTTCAAGCAGATGAATATATGCATGAGATAAATGAAGGCTAAAGATCATTTCGGTATGATTACAAATATTTCTAAGAATGCTATTTTGTTTTAAAAATATATGAGTGTTAGACCTAAAAAAAAAAAACGTTTTCGAAAGGTTACCATTTGTCAAAACACTTTGTAAAATTGTTATATATATGATATGATTATGCTAGCAGGAGAACAGCTCTTAAAAACAGTTGGATAGTTAAAATGCTGGAAGAATTTGATTTACAACTCTATATGAATAGGAATAATCGCAGGTTTTCTGGAGGTCAGAGTCCGAGGAATTCTAGAATCATCACTTAAGTTCTTTAACTCAGTTGTTTGCATAATAAAACGCTTTATTGGTTCACAGTTTTTGCAAAAATGAACCAAGCTTTAGACACCTCTGCTGTTTATTTATTGTTTATTTATTTGCATGTGTGGTAGAAATCGCTGCAGTCTTTGGCTTAATGGCTTTCTTTACTTTTTATTTTGAATCGTGAAGTACTGTCAACTGAATTCCATATTTACGGGTGTCAATGTGCATTTGTCTTTTTTTATTTCATTTTGTGTTGTTGTTTTTTATGGTTTTCTCATTGATCATTAATTTTCATTTAAGACATATAGCTGTTATATTAATATGTTAAACCATCATTTCTGCAGCTGCCCCTTGTGTTGATGGGTCATTAAGTATTAGAGTCCAGAATTCATAGTCTGAACACACGTGATGAACTACACATCTCCAGATATACGAGCGGAGTAATAATATACTTTGTATAATAAAAAGAAAACTTTTTAAAATGCATCACCAGCTAGCATGCCAACAAAATGTAAGTTGATATTGTAAACAACTGTGATCTCTATTAATAAAATGGTTCTTCGTCATTATCAGCTTCTGGTTTGTCTTCATTTGAAGTTTGTCCTTGATAGCACACGTACATCACTGAGACGTTTATTTGACGTTTGCATTTACATCTGCAAGACGTATTTTTTTAGTGTTTGCTCATCTGCAATACGTTTATAGGACATTTCCCATCAGATGTCAAATAGATGTTTAGAACATGCCTTTAAGATGTTCCCAGATAGCACACGTACGTCTGCAAGATGTCTGTTAAAGATCTCTTCATCTGGAAAGCATCTGCTGTGTACAAACATCTGATAGACGTCTTTAAGATGTCAGTTTTACATACATTCTAAATCATAAACATCTTAAAGACATCTTCAAAACGTCTATTTGACATCTGATAGGAAACGTCCTATAGACGTATCGCAGATGAGCAAACACTAAAAAAATACGTCTTGCAGATGTAAATGCAGACGTCAAATAGACGTCTCTGTGATGTACATGTGCTATCAGGGTTTATGATTCAGAATGAATGTAAAAGTGACATCTTAGAGACGTCTATCAGATGATTGTGCACAGTAGATGCTTTCCAGATGAAGCGATCTTTAACAGACATCTTGCAGACGTACGTGTGCAATCAGGAAACTTCAAAGAACAAACAACATATAGAGAAAAACTACAATATTTAAAGAACAGCAGTAACATTTAAAGAAAAAACATAATAATAATAAAACAAAATAAACCTCATATTTTAAAGAAGATATTACAACATCTAAACAGCAAAAAACAACGTTTAAAGAAAAAAAATGACATGCTAAAAATACATAGAAAACAACATTTAAAGATCAAACTACAACATTTACAGAAAACTACATTTAAAAAAATACTTTAAAGGTAGGGTAGGCAATTTCGGAGAGGTTAGCAATAGCAAGCTAGCTTTAAAAGCATAAGATCCCACCCTCCCTACAGCATTTAAAGAAAAAAAATAATGTTCTTTTTAGCAACATCATATGACCCCTTTAAATCATGGCTTGAAGGCAGGACGCTGTTCCCTTCCTGACCTCTAGATGGCACCACGATGTTGTTGAAAAACGTAACGGGGCCGCAGCCGCAACGAAAGGAGATCTCCGTTCATTGGGAAAGCCCATGCAAATAATCATGCAGACATGGATTTTAATGCAGATATCGTGTCATCAGAATGAGAAGATCATAAAGCACAGATCTATATAATGCCCCCCAAAATGTATGCCTAATTATCTACTATCTAATGTCTTTAAAATGCTCTGAAACATCAAAACAAGTGGCGTCTACATGAACATGTTCCACTAACTTTAGATAGTGGAGTGTCCAATACATTTTGTCCTCATTTTATCATTTAAAACCCAAACAAAGCCCATTTTGTGACATGCTTTGCATAAAGTGTTCTTGTGCTATCTTCCTTTACGATAAAATTCATTTTCCTTGATATTATTCAAAGCAATGACTGAAAAAGCGACTTGAGTCAACAAACGCATTTTGGTGAGGCTGTGCTATGTAGATCTGTATTTGATTTATGACATTCACCCTTTCGCCTGGTGTTTGTCATTAGGTTATATATATCTTGCATATTTGCACGTTTGTATAATTTGCATCATTCCACTGATCTGTGCAGGCTTGGCATACAGTCTCTTTAGAAATAACCTTTGAACGTTTTTTAAAATAAAGTATAACTATATGTGAATTATAGACTGTGTTATGTATTTTTGTCTCTTTTTGAAAAAGTTACCTTTCAGCTTTCATAAAATACCTTTCTGATTATGTCAAGAGCAATTTTTCAGTGTTTGACACACCGAAAAGTAGTAGGCTACTTCTTTCCTCAGTAGGCTACTTATTTTCTTCATTAACCTCGAAAAGTGTTTAGATCAGAAAGCGACGTTTACAGATACAAAAATAGAGTTTTATAAAATATTAAGTTTGGTATTCTAAGAATGGGAAGTGGAAATCAAATCGAATGAAGAAACCGTTCTGGCACTGTAAGTGTAAGCAATGTAGAAGGTACTTTCATCAGTCCAGTAGTTTCCTCGTACTCTATTCTTCTTGTCCACTGTCGTGTCTTTGACCGTGAGATGCAGCTTATTCTCTTTCTGCCTTCTGATTGGCTGTCGAGAGGCGCCGTCCTCCTGGATCAACTAAACGACTGGCTTCTGATTGGACTAGAGCGGCTGAGCGGTTGTGGGCTGATGCTTCGTCTCATGAATATTCATAAACGCCATAGAGCTACATGCGGCCTCACCCTCGGTCGGTTGCCAGACGAGTCTGTTATCTTTCAGCGACTTTATCAACGGTTTCCTTGCACTTTTCCGAACGTTTTCGGATTTAAGGGAAGACGAATATCAGCAAAGGTCGGTATTTAGAAGCCTGTGTTATTTGTCAGTCGATGTGAGTCGATAGATTGATGCTTAGTTTTCCGGCCGGCTTTTCCTTTATTGAATCAAGGAGTGGCAGGAAGCATATAACGCGCGTTTAGAATACAGTTTTGAATACAATTTTAAATTAGATCTGATTTAGTTTTACTATAAATACTTAATTATTTGTATATTTAATCCCAAGCATGCTTGTGCATATTCTGAAAAAAAAAAAAAAAGATTAGTAAGCTTAGTCTTTATATTTCTTGCCTTCTCAACCTCATTTTCTAAATTTCACACTGATAGTTATTTTGATTATATAATATTGTGTGCATACCCATTAATCTTTAACAGACATCTTGCAGACGTATGTGTGCTATCTGGGGTGTGTTTGGGTCTGAACTGGATGTATGGGGATCATGTGTAGGTCCATACGTCTTCTTTTACCCAGAAACGTTCTGGCTGTGATTTCTAAATTGCCTAAAATGTCCAGGCTTTGGCTTTGTTGTCCTATTGACCTGCTCTCTACTGTCCTGTGTCATCATAGATGATTATAAACGCATATTTGCATTGCTTTGACCGTTCTCTGTAGATCCCACCTTCTCGAACGCCATGATTGGTCGAGTATGTACACTGCCTGCATGCTATTGGTCAAACTATTTTTCAGTCATTACCTTCAAGCCAAAACCCGGACATTTTGGGCAATTTATAAATCCCGGCCAGAACATGTTCGGGAAAAAGAGGACACATGGTCAACCTAATGTGTGAAAACTGCCTCACTTGTTATATATGTATTATGTATGTATGCATGCATGTATGTACCAAGAGCTTCTTAAGAAAACACAAAAAAATGCATCGTGTGTTTGCGCACACTTAGCGAATAAAGCTGATTCTGATTCTGCTTAAAGGGGTCATATGATGTGATTTCAATTTTTCCTTTCTCTTTGGAGTGTTACAACGTGTCATCAGAATGAGAAGATCATAAAGCACAGATCTATATAATGCCCCCCAAAATGTATGCCTAATTATCTACTATCTAATGTCTTTAAAATGCTCTGAAACATCAAAACAAGTGGCGTCTACATGAACATGTTCCACTAACTTTAGATAGTGGAGTGTCCAATACATTTTGTCCTCATTTTATCATTTAAAACCCAAACAAAGCCCATTTTGTGACATGCTTTGCATAAAGTGTTCTTGTGCTATCTTCCTTTACGATAAAATTCATTTTCCTTGATATTATTCAAAGCAATGACTGAAAAAGCGACTTGAGTCAACAAACGCATTTTGGTGAGGCTGTGCTATGTAGATCTGTATTTGATTTATGACATTCACCCTTTCGCCTGGTGTTTGTCATTAGGTTATATATATCTTGCATATTTGCACGTTTGTATAATTTGCATCATTCCACTGATCTGTGCAGGCTTGGCATACAGTCTCTTTAGAAATAACCTTTGAACGTTTTTTAAAATAAAGTATAACTATATGTGAATTATAGACTGTGTTATGTATTTTTGTCTCTTTTTGAAAAAGTTACCTTTCAGCTTTCATAAAATACCTTTCTGATTATGTCAAGAGCAATTTTTCAGTGTTTGACACACCGAAAAGTAGTAGGCTACTTCTTTCCTCAGTAGGCTACTTATTTTCTTCATTAACCTCGAAAAGTGTTTAGATCAGAAAGCGACGTTTACAGATACAAAAATAGAGTTTTATAAAATATTAAGTTTGGTATTCTAAGAATGGGAAGTGGAAATCAAATCGAATGAAGAAACCGTTCTGGCACTGTAAGTGTAAGCAATGTAGAAGGTACTTTCATCAGTCCAGTAGTTTCCTCGTACTCTATTCTTCTTGTCCACTGTCGTGTCTTTGACCGTGAGATGCAGCTTATTCTCTTTCTGCCTTCTGATTGGCTGTCGAGAGGCGCCGTCCTCCTGGATCAACTAAACGACTGGCTTCTGATTGGACTAGAGCGGCTGAGCGGTTGTGGGCTGATGCTTCGTCTCATGAATATTCATAAACGCCATAGAGCTACATGCGGCCTCACCCTCGGTCGGTTGCCAGACGAGTCTGTTATCTTTCAGCGACTTTATCAACGGTTTCCTTGCACTTTTCCGAACGTTTTCGGATTTAAGGGAAGACGAATATCAGCAAAGGTCGGTATTTAGAAGCCTGTGTTATTTGTCAGTCGATGTGAGTCGATAGATTGATGCTTAGTTTTCCGGCCGGCTTTTCCTTTATTGAATCAAGGAGTGGCAGGAAGCATATAACGCGCGTTTAGAATACAGTTTTGAATACAAATTTAAATTAGATCTGATTTAGTTTTACTATAAATACTTAATTATTTGTATATTTAATCCCAAGCATGCTTGTGCATATTCTGAAAAAAAAAAAAAAAGATTAGTAAGCTTAGTCTTTATATTTCTTGCCTTCTCAACCTCATTTTCTAAATTTCACACTGATAGTTATTTTGATTATATAATATTGTGTGCATACCCATTAATCTTTCATGGATCTGTTATTTCAGGTCACATTATCCGGTTATGACCTGGTTACACGTTTGATTGACGTGTGAAAGCCACGCCCTTGCTTTAAATCCACCTGCACTTTCAGAAACTCACTTTAGTGAAGCGCACAAGAAATCTGGACACGAATAATAGCGGATAAACCCTCCGTTAGATCTATCTGGACCGTCTAGCTCAAGAATAACTACGTCTACTGCCCCTCGTTCTGCATTTGATCAAAACCCTCCAGGTCGACAGAACAGCAATGATGATGCAAATCTGCGATTCCTACAACCAAAAAAACTCCCTCTTCAATTCCATGAACCGGTTTATTGGTGCTGTGAACAACATGGACCAGACAATCATGGTGCCAAGTTTGCTGAGGGATGTCCCATTGGACCAGGAGGCCGAGAAAGAGGTGAACTCCTTCCAGGATGGAGACATGTATGGCTCTTATGTGCTCCTCAAATCAATTAGGAACGATATCGAATGGGGTGTGCTTCAAGCCGATGAGAGGCGCAAGGAAAAGCATGGCGTGACGACGGCCCTGGAGATGTCTCGCATCGAGCCGAACGATGAGGATTTGGAGAAGCTGTTTCATTTACATCTAAATGGACTGCACACGGTACTGGGGAAGCTCACCCGAAAAGCGAACACTTTGACAAACCGGTACAAGCAAGAAATTGGTATCGGTGGCTGTGGGAATTGAAAAGAACAAGAGTTTGCTCCATCCATCGCTGGTGGAATGCAAAAAAAGTTCACAAGAGGGTGCAGCAGGGGTTGAAGCCAAATGGGCCCCTGGTGGCTTCTGTGCATCTTTAATTCCCCGTATTGGAAAAAAAAGTCTTCTACTCGACGTCGGTTTACAAGCACCCTTAATTCCCCTGCTAATATCCCTTGATATTGTTTGCACAACCTGGATTCTGGCTTGGAAACAGGCTTTTGAAATTTAACGCAATTTAAGCAAACAAGCCAACATTAAATTAAAAAGATATGCCATTCATTGGCCGGTATGGTAGTTTTGGCGGTGTATTCATGTAGATTATAACAGGCTGGGCTGAGAATTAAAATCACTAATTATGTATAAAACGCACATTTCTACACTAAAACGCCGCTGGTACTTTATGACGTCACAATCGATGAGGGAATCGCATGAAGGTTCTTATGGATGTTGACAGATTCCTGAAAATGACGTCACATTACTGTTGGTAATTGTCTAAAAGAAAAGTTATGTCATGTATTTTTTCTATCACAAAGATGGTTTGGAAAATAAACATTTTGTAAATGCAACCCCACTGATGTGACTCTTTACTCACTGCTGGTGTTCAACTCATGATTAACAATGAATCATTTCCTTCTGGGATGTCCTTGCAAAATATCACTTTACAGTATACCCTTAGTGTACTTGCCTTATCGTGCTCAGCAAACATCGGTCTGTGTTGGCGTGCACAGCTGCTGCTGAGGTCCGCAGAGGGATCAGGCATGTTATATTAAGACCTGGCAACATCTGAAAGAGCCAGGCACCTGCAGTGCATTTTTCCAATTCGTACTGCTGAGTCACTGCTTGAGCTGCACTTAATGACGGACGTCTCTAATCTAAGCTTCCCAAACTAGTTTAATAGCCCTAAAGGCGCTATACTGTTGTAAACTGAAGCCTTGTAAACTGAAGGATTGGTTTGTTGATTCCTGTGTCTGGCTTACAGTTTTCTGAGGCATTCTGTCAAATTGAAATTATTGAGATGGAATTGTAATGCTCTGTAGAGACTGAATTTTCAGGCAGATTAACCACTACAAGATCTTTTGGAATCTTTTACTCGTTAAAAAAAGAATCTAGCTTTATTTGTCTTAAAATTTTGAGTCAACCAAACTGAATGCATAGCATTTCATGCTAAAGTCTTGTATTCTAATAGAATCTATAGTTTGAAGTTTTTGTATGATGAAGTGCACTAAAATCAGGTTTTGCTTAAGCTGTTAACGAAAAATGTAAACAGACATGCGCAATTGCATGCAAAACAAATTTACATTTAAGATTTGATCTGGTTTTGGAGTAAAATGTTTTTATTTTGCTTTAATTGTTGATCTTTACACTGATTAATATAAAAAAAAAAAAACAGATGCACAGAAGACAAATTCATGTTTTGACATCAGAACTTAAACTAATCAGGTTTTACTTAAACTGATAATGATCTTTACGTGTAAAGTGTAAACAAAAATGTAAAACACATGTACACAAGACAAATTTACATTTAAGTAATTTACATTTAAATTGTATTTTTTTACATCAGAATCATCAGATTTTACTAGAACTTTTAATAAACTTTCCACTGATGAAATGTCAATATAAAGTGTAAACAAAATGTAAAACATATGCACACAATACTAAATTACATTTAAGTTTTTGTCTGAATTTAACACCACAACATAGATGGACTGTAATCAGGTTTTGATTAAAATTTTTATGCTCTAACTGATAAAATATTGAAGTGTTTTCATGAAGTGTAAACAAAAGCACATGATGAAATTACATTGACGTTTTTGTCTAGTTTTGACACCAGAACATTGCTTAAACTGTTAAAGATCTTTACACTGATAAAATGGCAAACGTGAAGTATAAACAAAATGTAAACAGCCACGCACACTAGATTTTTATATACGTTTTTGTCTGGTTTTGACATCAAAACATGATACATCAAAACTTTTACATGACTTTACACGTTGTCCGGTTATGAAGTCTCATAAAAGTAAGACTGTAAGACACTGAGCTCAGCAGCTGTCACCACTAAGAAAGGTCACTTGCCTAGTTGGTATATACTTAATAAATCAATGCATAATAAATATTGCTGACATACTAGTTCATTGCTATCTGAAGTTGTTCTAAATATAGTCATTACTGAGTCTAAACAAATTTATTGTTAACCCATTTGGCTGAAGCATTAGAGGTAGAGGTAAACTGACTTTGCATTACACAATTCATTATAGACCCAAAGTTCTGCAAAGTTCTTACATTTCTTGACAAGTTGCACACTGTATGGTAAAAACATACACCCTTTTCATACACTTCACCTTTGTCTGTTATCTAAGAGCCAAACAATTTGCTCTTTGAACGTCATGTATCGTGGTGCTTGTCTGACTATTAGACAAACTGACCTTTAGTACTGATGGATCCATAATAGTTTCACCACGATAAAACATGACACAGATGAAGCTGATTTGAGGTGAGAATCACATGTTTGTCGACTCCTTTTTATTTCCTGCATTATTCATAGTCTAAACCCTCTCGGTTGACATTTTTCCTTTTCGCACCTTAATTAGGGATGCTGGGAGAACTATACAGGAAAGAAGGCCATCAGTTGGATTTGCTGATCTAGCATTTCTCCTACTCCGACTGTTTGTCTGCCATCTAGCTGATGTAAGACCAGCCCGTGGTGTGACATACTGAAACTTCCAGGCAGTATGATGGAGTTTTGGAGGATCGTAAGACCACTGGCGTAGGATTTGAGGTATGATGCAATGTGTCCTCTGGGTGCACAAAGGAGTTCTGCGATCAGGTGCTACTCAAAAGCGCACACTATTGTTTTTCTTTGCCGAGAATCAAGGCCACAAAGCTTGTGGGGCAAAAACTCCAAGGACGGAAAACGAGGGGAAATTGGGAGAGTTGATATTACTCAGAATTCGTCAAACCGTTCATTTTAAGTTATCTTAAAGGGGTCATATGATGCTGCTAAAAAGAACATTATTTTGTGTATTTGGTGTAATGAAATGTGTTTATGCGGTTTAAGGTTCAAAAAACACATTATTTTCCACATACTGTACATTATTGTTTCTCCTCTATGCCCCGCCTTTCTGAAATGCGTCGATTTTTACAAAGCTCATCGGTCTGAAAAAGCGAGGTGTGCTCTGATTGGCCAGCTATCCAGTGCGTTGTGATTGGCCGAATACCTCAAGCGTGTGACGGAAATGTTACGCCCCTTACCATATTGTGATGCCTGCGGCAACCACATGTGACGACCCCGGGCTGGACTCCACTTCGTCTACGGTGAAAGCCGATCCGGCGATCCACAGCGCAAGGTTGAAGTATTTCCTCAGCAACCAGCACGGATCAGCTCCAGGCATGTAAATCGCATCATATGACCCCTTTAAAACATGACTGGCTAGGTGCAGACGAGTAACAGTGAGTTACAAAATAGCAGGACAGGCTAATGGAGAGGACGAATGCTGCCATTTTGTCAAGAGGATTGTGTCTTGTCTCCGAGCGCAATAAAATATCTGTCTTATTACAGTCTCTCGCTCTTTAGAGTATTAGATGTCTCTCTTTGTGAACTATTTCAGTGGCAGCTTGTCAGGTTCCTCAGCGGTCTCGCTTTTGGCCATCTGTTACAGTCTGGAACTTCCCAGAATGCAACCCTTCAGAAATGTTGGGAAAGACATCCTATTCCTTTTTTTCCTATTTGTGTACAAGTGCCGCCACCGGTGTGGCTGAAAAAAGCCACATGGTGGTGGTCAAAAATCAGTGTCGCGAAGTTGTTACCATGGAGACGAGACGACAAGATTCATGCGTAACAAAATAAGACGGTACGTAGTTCAGTTAGGGAATTGATTTACAGGAAACGGAATTTAATAACGTGAACTCAAAGGAAGGAGCCAAACATTTATTTGAAAAGTTTGAAAACTCTCCAGTACGTTTAAATAATTTTTCTGTGTTGAAAAATCGTTTTAAAACATCTGAGCTATTGATTTACGCCACCACCTGTGTGATGAAGTATTACGGTTACAGTAGATTACTTTAAATTAAGCGTGACAAACGCAACAGTGGTTCAACCGTAATTAAAACGTATAAATGGCTCAGTTATATTGCAAATTATCTTGCCACGGTAATTCTTTTTACAGCCGCAGATTTAAAGCTATCAGTGCGTCTTGGACAGCTACATTCACTTATGTAAGCCTTAACTCACACAAGGGATTGCGTAATATGTTAGGAGGTGTAAATTTATGTCATAACCAGTCTGTATGCATTGGTTCCAGATTCAGTTCACAAATTCTTAGTTTAGCAAAGCTGACTATTGCAATCCCAGAATGCACCACCACAGAAAATAATTTCAAGTTTGTCAGGTTGTGAAAACAAACAAAATTTGTGTTTACACTAATGTACAAGACTATAGGGGAAGACATTCTGGAGAGTTTAAATATGATATCATATGCAACAAAAAAATTGTTATTTGGTGTAATTAAAATTATGTAAAGAAATAGTGTATATTTTCATGTTCATCCAGGTGTTATGTCTTGCCCCATAGACTTCTATAGAAGCCTGTCTCTGCCACTGAATAAAAAAATTAAAATGGTAACTGCAACTTTTTATCTCACAATTCTGACTTTTTTCCTTGTGACTGCAGTTTACATCTCGCAATTCTGACTTTTTTTGTTCTAAAAATTGTGATATAAACTTGCAATTAAATTTTTTTTCTCAAAATTGTGAGATAATAAACTCACAATTATGAGTTATAAAGTCAGAATTGCGTGATATAAAGTTGCAATTGTGTGTTATGAAGTCAAAATGGCAAAGTGTAAACTTGTAATTCTGACTTTTTCCTTGCAGTTGTTTATATGCAAACTTGCAATTGCGAGGAAAAAATAGATAAAAGGTCACAATTACCTTTTTTATTTTTTGTTCAGTGGCGGAAACGGCTTCCATAGACTTCCATTGTAAGTGTATTACAATACATGATTTTTGCTTGCTTTTATGATCTGAGAGACAAGTCAATATTATTTTCTGTGGTGATCGACGTTGTCACAGATACTGTCGACAGAACTTGTACTGAAACCAGAGCATTCATTTCAAAATTAAGTTTTCAAAAAGATTCAAAAAGATTTTGATGTTTCATTGGTGGCTTTCTAGTTATTTTTCTACAACAATGATGCAGGATCGGAGTTGCTACAAAAACAGATCCTCAAAACATCGAAGAGGATATAGTTTCTCATATGTGAAAACTGAGATGTTAGAAGTTCTTCAGATTGGTTTGTTTCTTGGCTCTTCAAAGCATCAGTACCTGTTTTCTAAAGCTCTAGAAAGATCTTTGTGCCTGTAAAATCCATTTTGCTTCTAACTGAAACCTTTATTTTTAAAACCTCGCCTCAGATACCATCTCGCATCACCAGGGAAAAGCAGAATATGATCTGGTCAGGCCTGCGCACTGCGAAAGATCAGGTGTCCCGTCATTGTGGATTTGGTTATTGAAATAAGCAGCTGCCAGGTGCCCTCTGGTGCTGATCTGAGATCGGGTTTTTGCTAGATCTGCATGCAACAGTTAAATACAGGAAAGCTGACCTCGGATCAGCGCTCAAGGGCATCCTCTGTGCAGCACGTCGTCATTTAGTCGTCAAAGGATTCTGCGGCGTTTCATCTCGAATGGCCTGCTATGATTACTTCCTTTCCATTAAAATGGCCCCTCTCTGCCTTCCTGCCATTTTTTTCCCAAGCATCCTCCACCTTTTTGAAATTTGCTCCAAAATTAATGATTCCAATATATTTTCCATGCGAGCTTTGCTGATTTGCATGACTTACAGCGAAGAGAAAGCAGAGAGTGGGAAAGTAGGTAATAAATGAAGGAAAGAAGAAAAAAGAGGAATGCAAAGACGAGACGGCAGGGAGGTAGGTGGCCACGGAGACCAGGGACTCGTAATTGCCTTCTGCAGCGAGACTGCAAGATGAGGAGAGAGAGTGCGAGAAAGACAACGGTTTGAAATTTTATCTCAGGGCTCAGGGCCATCAAAGTCTGTAGGGTGTTGAGGCTGTCGCGTTCGACAATTCCCTCTTCTTGTTTCTCTCTCTCTCTGTCTCCGTTCTGTCGGTGACAACGTGAGGCAGTTATTCTCCGGTGTCTTCATCGTCTGTCAGTGAAGCCGTTGATAAGAGCAGAGAGCCAAGCGCTAAGTGAGTTAGACGGCCAGGCAGGCAGCAGCCGATAAACGAGGGTTGAAGGTCAGGAGAAGGCATGCCACGCTCTTAAGCTCTGCAGACAACCTGAGCCAACAGGATGCTGTGACAAGACGGTGAGGCAGTGTAGACTGAATGTTAAATGCTATGTTTTAGTTTGATTTCAATAGAAAAACGCATATGTTTTGTGGGCAAGGTATAGTTCACTCAAAAGTGATGAACAACCTACAAACCCTTTCAAAAGACTTCTTTCTTCCATGGAACATTAAAGTACGTAGTGATCAAGGGCTGTCCAAGTATTTTTCTTTTACTGCATATAAGTTAGTTTTTTAAGTATCTGAGAGTAAACTTTAACTGGTTCCATGCACAATATCTCTACATTGAATTTACACAAAACATGCCGTTCCTTGTTTTTCGAAGTGCACTCTCGAACAACTGCAAGACATGATAGCGATGCTTACTTCAAGCCGATACTTTCTTATGAATCTGAAACTAGTTCACAAATCTCAGAATGATTCAAATCTCGTAAATCGGAATGATCCGATCACTGCAGTTCTCAGGATAAGAATGTAAATGTAACTCGCTGATTTGGTGATCCAGTTGGAACGAGTCTCAACTTACTAAATTGGCCATATACATTTCAGCGCATAAAATCGTACTTTTTAAGCCACTAGAGTTCAGAAAAAACATGCTGTTCCCTGTTATTTTGGAGTTAAAAAAAACTCAAGACTCACTGCAAGATGCGACAGCCATGTCCGATTTGTAAATGAATGATTCTTTAGAAGAGACTCTTTTCAATAAACCTGTTGGTCAGCTGATCTGAGTGAGGCTGATGAGGTGAAAAGTAATGACTAATTTTGGTATTGTTTAGAGTAAATGTTAATTATATTTAGGTTATACATGACTGTACATTGTTTATGTGCTAAATCAGTTGTGTAAGAGTTAGCTGCTCATTGTATATTGTTGTTTAAGACACAAAGACCACATTTACTGATATCAAAGTTGCTTTAATCTTTGATTAATCTTCCTTATTGACTAATGCCAATGAATAATAGGCTGATTCGTAATATTTTCAGCAAGACGCTATTTAAGCAGTACTTATAATCAGGTAAAAATTTAAGAGTAGGCTACTTTTTTTAGAAGTAACAGGGTGTCTGTACTTTAACTTGTACTGTGTTCACCACTGGGGCATTATCTCATAGTCATATGCTTTTTGTATGAGGGATAAACCAATTTTTTTTCTGTTGAAGAACATTGGTCCATGCTAAGATGGAGCATATGTTTTGAGTAACGTTGTTGACACAGAGATAGTCGTCTGTCAAAGATCCTGTGGTGCGTCATCTTGGGACAAGAAGGAACTATGGTGATTGCTATCTTTTTTTAATTTAAAGGGGTCATATGATGCGATTTCATGTTTTCCTTTGTCTTTGGAGTGTTAAAAGCTGTTTGTGCATACAGAAGATCTGTAAAGTCGCAAAGATTAAAGTCTCAAACCCAAAGATATATTCTTTATAAAAGTGAACGCTCAGCCACGCCTTCCTTAAAGGAGTCATATGACGTTGCTAAAAA